TATATATATATATATATATATATATATAAGCGAAACGAGTATGTATACCATACAGAAAAATCGCGAAGAGGAGGGAGAGAGGTCGGGATCGGTAAGAGGTACGTATTAGCGGTAATGGAACGTTTACGGCTACGACTACAAGGTCTGTTAGCGAGCTGTAAGTCGTCCAGTACCTGGAGAAGGGAAACGATAGCCTGATGCTGGCCGTCGACGGGATGCTCGCTGAGACTGCTCGGCAGAGACTCGTCCATGTAAAACTCAGTACCCATGAAGTCGGTAGCGCACACACCAATAGAGGGGCTGCTACCGCCACTACCGGACAGCTGCTGCTGGCGTTGCTGCTGCTGGCCGTCGCACATCACCGACCGTGACAGGGAAGAGGAAGGATTTGGGCTAAGTGAGTTCGGCTCCTCGGCCATCGTCGTCGATGGCGTCTCGTGATACTTGGAAAGACCGTTCGCAGTGGCGCGGTGAAGCAAACAACTGCTCGACTCGCCGTTCTCGGCGCACTCGGTTAACGGACTCAGCTGAGCTGGACGCTCGCTGACGGACAGACTAGGGAAATGGAAGGATCCAGGCTCGCTCGAGGAAGATGACCGGTTCGTCAGGTCCGCGACTTTCGAATTAAGCGGGGATACGTTAGTCGAGGTCGAGGAAGCGGGGGACACGCTTCGCGAGGCACCAACCTCCAATTGTTTCTGACGCATTTGTTTCGCGCCATCGTACGACTCCGGCTTAGAGTCCGTGGCACCTTGACCGATCTTCTCGAACTCCTCCGTGTCCGTCTCCGATTCAAAACCACCCCTGAAATCACACCAACCGGTATATCACGGTTTCCGTCCGTCCGACCGACCGGTAAGTAAGATCGAAAGATCTCTACTTTTGACCGAAAAGAGCAGACGGTCCTGTGTACCTGTCGAACAACATCGGAGCTCTTGCTCGTTCTTGATCCTTGGTCGCTACGTCCACGCGCATGGAGGTGCTGTCCTTCTCCTTATTGCCGTCGGTGCTCGCCTCGGTGAGACTCTTCGACAGGAAGAATTGCGTGATGCTGTTCAAGTCCGGTGACGAGATAGTAAGCGCCAGATCGGGTAGCTGCGACCTGAGAGATTCCATGTCCTCCGCTGTCAACTGTGATGCGTACAATCGCGTTAGAATCAATTCCTTCTCTCTCTCTCTCTCTCTTCCTCTCTGCTCGAAATGAAATAAGAACGAGTAAGTAAATACCTTGGGCAGTCCACTATCGAAAACAGACGGCGCCTGGGTGGCAAACGGCGGCGGCGTGTCCTCAAGACCAGGGAACAAAGTATTCAGAAAATGGCCATCGAATTTACTCTGAAATTCCCGTCTGCGTGCCAGTTCCTCACTGTGGACCGTCAACAGCTGGCACGCCAAATTGCTGGCCCAAACGAGGAAAGCTTGTGAGAAGGTCCGTCTGCGAACTACCTCGGCCACGGCATTGATGTACATTTGTGGTGCCAGATGGATCTGTTGAAGCACCTCCAGGTGCCTTCTCAAACGTTTCAGGCTTTCGTGATACATAACCAGTTTGCCGTCCACTTCCATCATCTTGTTCTCTACGTACATTATCCATTTGAGCCGGTGGTAGATGTTCACCGACAGTTCCTCTTTTGCCTTTGTGCATCGGCGCCTGATGTCGCGCAACTTGTTGTGATTTTGCAGCATCACAATAAGCTGCCGTCTGTGCGACATGCACAAATCAGGCAACACGCTGGGATCACCGAGATTGTTTGCCCGGCTCTGGTTCTGCAGGAAACCCTGAGCAAGCTCCCCCTGCTCGTGGACCAGCTTTTTCGTTTGTGTCATCAGCTGTTCCAACGCGAACAGCCTCTCGCCGAGGCCCTTGATCTCCTTCATGTCCTGCTTGTTCGCGCTGTCGATGGCTGCCTTCACCTCCGCCTTCAACGCCTCCATCACTTTCTCGTCGAATTGTTCCAACCCTCTGGAGCACTGTTCCGCCACCTGCTCCAGGCTACTCTGATTGTCTTTCGCCGATATCCAACGAAGCAGACTCAGAACTTCCTCCCTGCCCTCGGTGTTGTCCTTCTTCGATTGACTCGGCTGATCCTCCGGGCTCAACAGACCCTCGGCCTGAGCTCTCAGCGCTGGTAGGATTGGAATCTTCGCCAGGGTGCTCAGGTCGGCGCTGAAGCTGCAACACGTTCAATTAAATTCGCCAATTAAAATTCTGTGACAACTCGGAGAATGGAAAGCTCGAGTGAGTATTGAAAGATGTTGCGAGGATAATTACTTTATCAGCAGTCACTCTATCGTGAACTCTTCGTAAACTTTTTAGTATACAATAAATACGACGAATAATGGCTCCTCGGCGTTCGTAATTCTTGGCTTTGAAATTCTAATCATTTTTTCTTTTTTTTTCGGTACGTAATGGAGTAATTAACGATGGGACATTTTTTACGGTTAATACTGAACTAAATTTCGATACGCATCTAACACATGCTGAAGAATTATTTAACTGGTAATATTTGTAGTTGAACTGCTACGTTTCGTGGATGACGTTGACTGTTATTTCACCGCTAGCAATTATGTTCGTTTCCTCGAAACTCGCGTCTTCCTTGATGTCACGCGACACTGCACGCTATCCACGCAATGTA